TGTTAGAGGGTTGAGAACTAAAATCAGTGATTTATATTCTAATGTATTGTGTGAGAACTATCCGATAATTTCATTAACTTAAACTTGGCTTAATGACACATTTTTTATTGGGGAAATTATAGATGATAGATACGAGAGATCCTTTTTAGAGACGAATAAAGAACGTGGTGGTGGTGTAATGATAGCTGTTATAAAGAATATTCCTTCTACTTTACTGCAAATTGATACTCTTCAAAGAGAAGAAGTTTGGATACTAATCTCGTTTAATGGCATTCAAATTATAATTGGAACTGTGTATTTTCCTCCTAATTCACCCTTAGCTGTGTATTCTGACCATATATCTTTGGTTGATTCCTTAATTGCTGATTATCCTGAAACTACAGTATGTATTGTTGGTGATTACAATTTGCCTGGATTGAGCTGGAAAAGTGATACTAATTGTAATTATTTAATACCTGTTAACGTTGTTTCAATGATTGAAGAATTAATTTGTGACAATTTCGCTGTGAGTGGTCTTTTTCAATACAACTTTATATTGAATGGAAATGATGTAATTTTGGATTTAAGCTTTAGTAATACTGCACTTATCATTGAAGAATGTTTATCCTTATTACCGAAAGATATAAATCATCCTGCCTTTATTATTAAAATTAGTGACATATTCTTGCCTTTACTAGATCATACTATATACACATCTTATTTGGATTTTAAGAACGCGTCATTTGATGTAATTAATACCTACCTGGAGCAAATTGATTGGTTTACCATGGAAAATTTTTCTCATCTTGATGATTGTATGTATTATTTTTATTCTCACATAAATTCTCTTATAACTCGTTTTGTTCCTATTGTTGTTAAAAAAACTCAGAACAACTTTCCTTATTGGGTTGATACCCATACAAGATCTCTTATTGTGAAAAAAAAAGAAGCTCATAGGAATTTTAAGGTAACTGGATTATATTCAGATTACGTAAAGTTTTGTGATCTTAGACGTACATGTAGGTTGGCTATGAACTTGTGTAGGAAAAATCATATTCGAAGTGTTGAGCAGAATATTATTGTTAATAGTAATGGTTTTTGGTCATTTGTCAAGAAATCAAAATCTAATACAGTGGGGTTCCCCTGTTCTATGTTCTTAGGTGATATCATAGTTGATTCTTCTAAATCCATTGCAGATTTGTTTGCTACTTATTTTCAAACTGTATATACGGTAGCTGATACTGATGTTAATATGAGTTCATCAAATTGGAAAGACAATCTTGTTGATATTAATTCATTTGAAATATCCACCGACCTTGTTTTGTCTAAATTACTTTCCTTAGATTCTTCTGTTAAAATAGGTCCAGATGGTATTCCATCACTATTTTTAAAACAATGTGCTCACAATTTATGTTTTCCCCTACAAATTTTATATAAAAGATCTTTACAATTATCCAAAGTTCCTACACTATGGAAAATCTCTTATGTTACACCTATTTATAAGAAAGGTCATCGTAGTGATATTTCAAACTATAGACCTATTAGTATTGGTTCACCTATAGCGAAAATATTTGATTCAATTACATGTGACATTTTGTCTTTCCATGTAAAAAATATCATCCTAGATGAACAGCATGGTTTCTTTAAAGGGCATTCGACAACTTCTAATTTAATGATATTTACTAATTATATAGTTAATAATATGGAAAATGGTTACGATACTGATTGTATTTACACTGATTTGGCAAAAGCTTTTGATAGGGTGAATATTCGTATTCTACTATTAAAATTGGCTAAGATTGGAATTGGTGATCCTTTACTATCATGAATAGATTCATATCTAAGTAGTCGAAGGCAATTTGTAATTATAAATGGGTTTAAATCAAAATGTATAATTCCATCTTCTGGTGTTCCGCAAGGTTCCCATTTAGGGCCTTTGCTTTTCTCTATATTTATAAATGATATCAAAGATGTTATAAAATCTAGTCAGTTTTTACTATTTGCAGATGATTTAAAAATCTTTAAAAAAATTACTTGCCCCTCAGATTGTCATATGATACAATCTGATTTGAACTTTTTAGAATTTTGGTGTAAGAAAAATGGACTAGAATTTAACACACCTAAGTGTAAGGTTTTAAGATTTAGTCGCAAATTATGTTCTGAACATTATAATTATACATTGTCTTCTATTGTTCTTGAAAATGTGACCAGTTTTTGTGATTTAGGAATTACTATTGATAGTAAACTCTCTTTTACTTTTCACATAAATAATATTGTTTCTAAAGCAAATAAAATGTTAGGATTAGTAAAAAGAACCTGTAGTGAGTTCACAAATCTTAGATCTTTTATTGTTTTGTTTTCATCTTTTGTAAGGTCGATCCTCGAATACGGTGTTACTATATGGTCTCCTTATTATAAGATGCACAGTCAAAGAATTGAAAACATTCAAAAAAATTCGTCAAATTTCTGTGCTATAAGTTCAAAATATTTTTCAATAGCTATAATTATACTATGATAATAAGTTATTTTGGGCTTACGTTACTTTCTAAGAGAAGAATAATGTTTGATATGTGTTTTGTTTATAAAGTATTGTCTGGTATTGTTACTTGTTCAAATATTTTAATTTTATTTATGATACATGTTCCATCTCGTCAAGTAAGAAATTCTCACTTACTTTGAATTCCATATCATCGTACTTTGTACGCGTTTCAATCGCCTGTTAGTCGTCTTGCTAGACTAACACTTATCTATAATGAAATTGAGTTTGTGGGAATTTCTTACACCAGGTTTAAATCATCGATCCACAGGAAGATTTTAATCTAGTATTGTAACTTTTGTATGTTTTTATTATTGTAATTGTTTTTTTTTTGACCGTTAATAAACATCATCATAAACAAATCTGTTAAACCATTGGTGAGAAAAGAAAAGACATTTGTTTTTTTCCTTCTATAAATTATTCGATCTACACTTTATATTTGAAACGTTATTTTCTTCGTTTAGAGTGGTAGTGATGTTTTATTCCCTATATTACATGTAGGTAGAACACACGTAAATAGCTTGTCACATAAAAATTCAAAAAACAGATTGTGTAATAAGGAAAATACAAGTGTAAGTAGTCTAAATCAACCAAAATTTTGGACAGTTTATCAATAATTTTTCAATTTTCTATATTTAAAAAGTTAAACAATAAATTTCGTCTTCTATCTGCTGCAGTAAATTTTAGTAGTACTTACTTTTTTTTTATAAAATTAATCATCGAAATGGAGGCGGGTGGGTGGGCGTGGTTTATAATATGTTCTTCTGCAGACTGGGAATGGTATGTAACTGATAGAAACTAAGCTGTAAAAAACACGCTAATTGTAACTTTTTTTTTGTACTATTTGGTATAAATTTTATTTCTTATTTCATAAGAAAAAAATGAGAGGTCGGGTGGGTGGGCGGGCTTAAATTTAGCTTTCTCCTACAGTGTCTTTTAAAAGTAAACAATAGGCAAGCCCACCCACCCCCTCTTCCTTCTGGTGACCACCCTTAATACAATTCTATTGTCTTATTAGAATCTTTGGCAATTCTGTTAAACCGTTGGTGAGAAAACGAACATTTTCTTATTTTCCTTTTATAAATTATTCGATCTGCACCTTATATTTCAAACGGGTTTTTCTTCCTTTATAGTAGCAGTATTAATTTATTATTCGCCTTACAGGCTTAATAAGATTCCCAGAAGGGGTGCAAGTTAACTTAATCTATTTACATAAATACAAATAAATCAATAAAATAAATAAAGTAAAATAAATAGGTATTCGAGTTTTATTTATAATAGTAACTGTTCTATTCTTTCTGCTTGCCAACCCCTTGCCTTAGTTCCTTTATCTTCCGTATTTGTTTCATCCAGTCGAGTCCTGTTCCATCCTCGTTTAGCACTTCTTCGCTACTTTCCTCCGATTCTCTCAATCCTTCATATCCTTCCAGCATATGCTCTATTGTTTCTTTCGCTCTCCAACATATCCCACACCTTCTGTCAGTTTCATCCATCCAAAAATTATTCTCTTTCTCTTCATTTCCACACCTAAATCTCGCCATCATTCTTTTCTCCTTTATTTTCTCTCTGTGTATGTACTTTGGTACTTCATCCTTTACTATTTTTCTATACTCTGCATTATATCTAGACTCCGATATTTTCGATCTGCGTTCTAGCTTATCTCTTACACTCACTTCTTCTTTCATACTCCTTCCCATTTCTCTCATTCTCTCTATTTCTTCACATTCATATCCCTTTCCTTCATAATACTTGCCTCTTTCGTTCCAGACATGTTTTCCCCCATCCTTTCTTATTTCTTTCCAACATTCTTACAATATTTTACAATCACCTCTCTCACTAAACTTCTCTTCAAATCCAACCGCCCTTTTACACGCTTCCACTCTCATTTTCTCCCTTTTTGTTTCTTCTACCACTATATACCCCAGCGTATACTTTTCCGATCTCAATGTCCATTTTAAGTAGTTTTCGTGCACTCTCTCTATTTCTTCATATTCCCTTCATCCCCAAATCTCAGCTCCGTACATAAATACACTTTTGATCAAACTATCAAACATCATCATTCTTCTCTTCTAATCATGTCCAAATTTTCTCTCTCCTATTCCCCATACTATTCCTATCACTTTGTTCGCTTTTCGGACCATTTCTTGAATATGCGCTCTATCTGAGTTATTGCTCTTTAAGTACTGGAATTCTTTCGCCTGTTCAATCTTCTTCCCTCTCCATGCCCACTCTTCCTTCATCTTTCTTACTTTCTTCCCAAACGCCACCATTTTTGTTGTCCCACATTCACCTCTAATTCCTTTTTTTTACATATTTCTCGAAAATTTTAATCATTGTTTTCATTTCTTCTCTTTCAGTATGATACAAATTTGACCAAAGAATCAAGGACCTATCTTCAAAAACAAAAAAGTTAAACCTGTACATCCCAGTCATTTTCACTTTCTACAAGCTGCGAAACGTTAAAAATGAATCAATAAAACACAAATCATGCATAATGTATTTATTTCATGTTAAATCCCATAATTATAATGAACGCATTTTCCAGTAGTTTCTAACCGAGACTAAATATCAATTACCAAATTTATGAAATTAGGGTACATGTTGGAATGGCAGTGATATTGCTTTGTCGATGATAATAAAGTAACCTGAAAAATTATCACCACAGAATCACACAAAAAAATCCAAGAAAGTAAATTTTGTATATTACCTGTTGTTTTTTTTTCGAGGAGCCATTAACCACAGCAGTGCTTTGGAGAAGCTTTTTCTTGACTTGCGGCCAGTATCAGTACAACGACCACCGTGAGGACGATTCTGGAAACTCTTTGGAGCAACATCTTCATTGTTGGTGTGTTGTTTGTTGTTTAGCTGGTTACTTCTGAATACTGACTGAAGTTTTACAATTTTTGCTCCTTTATATACGTATTTGCTAAACCTTATCACGGTTCGAATTAATGAGTGTGAAGTATATTAACGAAGAAAATATTTACTGATTCATATCCTGGCTTTAATAATGAATTTTTTAATGCTTTGTTGTGGCGAATTATCGTACCTGGATGTCTAATTAATTTTAGGTTTGAGTTCTTGGAATTTTAGTCACTGATGATAAACGCTCTTTTTTAAGTTAATTTAACTAGATGGAGCATTACTACAATGTGGTAAAACGGTCCCCCATTTCTAAAAATAGAACAAAACAAACTTCCAGCGGACTGACACCAGTCTGATCACCAATTATCTCCATTATCGCCGATATCTCGACGATACCCCAAAACAACAAATCACTGTTTCCGATATTTACATACAGATTAAGCAAAATTACATGAATCTATATTAAATAACTGCATTGATCGCACCATCATCGCACAGATTACATCAGCCCCCAGTTTTAATCCACATGTTTTCGACAACAGAATCCACAATCTCACCACAAACCGACGATGGCTTAAGCGGTTTCGCCCTCTTCCAAGCGACCACCAGACGATCATTTTTGTGCCTGTTCATCATAGTCACGGTACCCTCTGTCATCGGTAACATCGCAGCCATCTACTCCATCTCCAGAAGAAATTGCAGAATTTTTCAAAAAACGTGCATCATTTCGCTGGCTTTGTCGGACATTTTGAGCACCGCAGCTATAGCTACCATCAACATTAACACCTTCGTACAAGAAGCAATGGCTTGGGTGAGTACCCGTGGTTTAGTTGTCTTTAGTAATAGTTCGTTTTAGCCTCTGGGGCACTTCCTGTGTCAATTCCTCCCTATGTGTCAGATGGTGGGGGTTCTGGCGAGCTCGGTAGCCCTGACGATGATTGCCATGGACAGGTATCGAAACGTGGTGCACGCTTTGGGGAAAAGGTGGGACCCCACGCCTTGTTTTTGCTTCGTGGCAACAGGCACCGTGTGGGTACTATCTTTTGCAATCTCGTACCCCATGTATAGCTTCTACAAGTTCCAAACCAAGTGCAACGTCCATTTCTGTTTGATGAGTGGCGAAATCAAAGAGTCTCTGCAAAAGTACTACATCGCTATGGTCATCATCATCTTCCTCCCTCTCTTCTCCGTCTTCCTCTGGTTCTACAACAGCATCGCCGCTCTAGTCTGGAAACACCGAAAACCCATATCCACCATCTTCAATAAAAAATCGACCCAAGAAAGCACGTCCTCAGAGGTTAAAACTGTCAACCATCCCAAAACTCAAGAGGAAATTCGAGTCGGGAGAAAAATTCGGACTTTTAAGATAATCGTCGCCTTGATGGTGGTTTTTATAGTTTGTAGGTTGCCGTACTTCACTATACAGATTTTGAAGACTTTCAATACCGCGCTGTCGACTCGGAAGGAAATGTGGTACATGAGTTTTAGTTTTATGGCTCTTCATATTGTCAATTGTTGTTTGAATCCTCTGCTTTATACTTTTTTCAATGTGACGGTTCAGGTTTGGCGAAAAATCGAAAGTTTTGCTTTGGAGATTTGTTGCTTCTGTTGTTCGCGGGGGGAGTTTGAGAGTTTCGAGACGGAGAATCCGTTTGTTATTGAAGATTTTGAGAAGAGGAAGAGGTCGAGGGAGTGGGAAAATAGGAAGAGGTCGACAGTGAGGTTTAAAGAGGAAAGGTACTGATTAAAGAGGTTTATGTGTATTAATCGAGGGTCTTTTGTATTTATATTTTTATAGCAAAATATAGCTCTAACTTAGTAATACTTAAAATTGCAAAGTATTTTTGTCCTGATTTAATATTCTACAAAACAGCTTCTACAACAATTGTGTTTGATTTAAGGCTTTTATAATTAATATTATTATTGTTATTACTATTATTGATAAACTCTTCCACAGGCCATAGCCCATTTACGGAAGACATACTAACAAAAAAAGAACAAATAGAAGAAGACAAGCATATAGACTGTTTATAGTAAAGCATAATGAGTTTTTATCTCTCTGACTGTGCAGCAAAATATGTCAAAATGATTTTCAACGTTAGCGTAGCTGTGTAGCATCTGAAATAGTGGTGAAGATTTTATTATATTAGTCTTAGGAAAGGGTGCCTTTATTAAAGAGTTAAATCTTAGTCTAGTTGTCGGTGCTCTAAAATATAAAAGGTTTAATATATCTTCACAGTTTACTATTGAATGCAAAATGTTTCTTAGCATAATAATAAAGGCAACAGTCTTACGACAAGAAAGACTCTGCAAGTTGAAGCGTCTGAGGAGTATATCATTTGGAATTCCTCTAAGTGGGTAAGTACCATCCTCAAGAAAACCCAAAAATTTCAGAAACCTACGTTGGATTTTCTCTAAAGCAGAAATGTGAACTTGATATATGGGACTAAATATAATGGAAGAATACTCAAGTCGAGATCGGACATACGCAAAATAAAGTGGTTTTAAGATATCTTTACTCTGAAAGGCACCTGAGTTTCGGATGACGAGACCAAGTGCTTGTAAGCAGATGACGCGATTTTTTCAATATGTTTATCAAATTTTAGCTTTGTATCATAAGTGACACCCAGATCATAAATATAGTCAGGCCTTTCTAGTATTAAATTATCAATTGCATAGTCATAAATTATTGGATCAAGTTTTCTATAGAAAGATTTTACAAAGCATTTGTCCTTGTTTAGCAAAAGCTGATTGTTAATTGACCAATTCCACAATTTACTGAGATTTTCCTGAAGATGTAAGCAATCCTCAGCTGTTTTAATTTCACAGAAAATTTTTAAATCATCGGCATACAGTAAATGCCTTACATCAAGTTCGTCAACGACATTATTTATATATATATATATTAAAGAGCAGAGGACCCAGCACAGAACCCTGTGGTACGCCTGACAATTGCAAAAATTTGTTGGAACGGTATCCACGATAGCAAACATATTGATGTCTTTGATGCAAATAGGATGTAAGAAGGTTAAGTAAGTTGTTTGAAAAACCAAATATTGCAACAAGATTTTGTGATCAATGCGATCAAATGCCTTAGAAAAATCAGTGTATATACAGTCAACTTGACTTCGAGCATCTAGACGTTCTGAAATAAACTGAGTTTTTAAGAATAACTTAGTGACTGTGGATTTTCCCTTAACAAACCCATGTTGAGATGGAGATAGGTAAGTGGAGACGTGATTAGAGATACGAGAATGAAGTACGATTTCGAATATTTTTGCAAAATTATTTATAATTGTAATCGGACGGTAATTAGCAATGTTGCTTCTACTATTTTTCTTGTGGACTGGTGCGACCCGAGATACTTTCCACTTCATTGGGAAATAAGATTTTTTTGTTATTAAATTGAAAATAATGTTTAATGGCCTACAGAAAATGGAGGCACAATCCCTAATAAGAAATGACGGTATACAATCGGGACCAGCTGTCAACGTAGGTTTGAGTTGTTTAATGGCATTACGAATTTCATCTTCATTAATCTCTGTCAAATAGATAATATTTTTATATAAGCTGCCTAAACTGTTCTCACGCATTGAAGTACTGGAAACCGACAAGCTATTAAATGATTTACCAAAGAAATCTGCAAAAGCATCTACTATATTTTGTGGTGATGTTAGCTCCGTATCATCATATTGCATTATGTTTGGTATACCAAACTTTTTTGTTTTATGTTTAACAAATGTCCAGAACTGTTTAAGGTTTACTTTGATCTCATCAGTAACACGTTTTAAATATCTGTCATAAGCATCTCTAATTAGTTTTTTTATTTCTCTTCGGTACAATTTGAATGTTTCTGGAGATAGAAGCGACTTATCTTTTTTGTATTTCAGTCATGCTTTATGCTTTTGTTTGAGACTTTTAATAATTTTCTTGTCAAACCATTTAGAGTAGGTACCGAGAGGCTGCCCTTTCGTTGGCACAAAAGAATTAAAAATATTTAAGAGTTTGTCGTAAAATAACTCAATAGCCCCATCGACATCTTTTGCAGAATCTAAAAACGAAAAATCAACTTCGGATAAGTGACAGTATAGAGATGGAAAGTCTGCTTTTTTAAAATTAAATTCACCATGAGTTTTGATTGGAATACAAGTTGTTTTCTCCTTCAAGAGACATACACTGACTTCCAAGGCAGGATGATGCGCATCCTCTAGGGTTAACACTTCCTCTGCATAAATTACGTGACACTCTGTATTGCTAAACACAAGATCTAAAAGACGTTCATTAGAATTGAGAACAAAATTTTTTTGGGAAAGACCAAGAAACTTGCTGAAATTGTCACAGTCATACTAGATGTTGGATGATATAACACTGGACGAATAACAGCTAATATACTCAGGGATCTTGAAATCACCGAACACGATTATATTTGACTTATAAAGAACATTTACAGACATTAAGGACTCAAAAAGAATTGAATAATCATCAACTCCACAAGAAGGTGGGACGTATAGAACAATAATATGTAGACATTGATGAAGATCTTCTGCTTTAATTTTAACCTACATGATGTCAATGTGTTTTAATTCAGCAAATCTATAGTAAAACTGTTCAAGCTCTAACATTATGACTTTTATCTCCTTCCTAGCTGCAATTAAAACACCACCACCTCTACGCATTGCAGTTGTAGAAAAATCGCGATCTTTTCTCAATACATTAAAGAGTTTTACATTAAAATATTCACCATCAAAAGAGCTTGAATTTAACCAGGTTTCAGTTAATATTATTAAGTCATACTGGGACATCAAAGTAGAGTTAAGAAGAATTTCAGACGTTTTGGTGTTAACACCTCTTACATTTTGGTAGTAAATATTTAAATATTTACTGGTATTCACTATACGCTTAGGACATTTAGAAACTAGAGATGAGGTCCTTAATTGCTATTTAATTGAAAGAATGCTAGTTTTAAATTCCGCTTTCGCTTTATGGTAAGCGTGACACTTGTTAAAGTCCCAAACTGCATGATCTACCGATAGATTGCTACTTTGTTTAGTGTTCAGTAATGTGCAATTAACGCATTGTAAGGTTTCGGATTTGCAATTTTTAACATCATGGGAGCCAGAACATCTAGGACATCTAGGTAGCTTTTGAGAGCATTGCTTCTGATAATGGTGATAACCACAACACTGGTAGCATATTTTAATATCTATTGCATCGTATACAAGACAGTCATCATACCCAACGATTAGGTAACCTTTTTTAATCATGTTATCATAAGTAGCCCGATTTACTTCTACGATAGCTTGAAACCTTTTTTTGTCTTTTCGTAACGGTACTATTTTATTAGTTACTTTACAGTACGGTTCACCAACAAAGAGATATCGGTTTTGATGGATTACATAATCAGAGAGATTTTCTGTAGTAATTTCTTCATCAGTTATACCAACGATTCTAATACGACGATTGATAACAGGTAGCTGTTTAATGGTGTATTTTTCACCCAAATTATTATCATTGGCAAGTTTGGAAATTTTTTCTGTATCTTCAGATTTATCACATCGAACAATTAAACTTCCATTGTCTCCATTTTTTGTATTTCTTATTGAAACACCCGATTTTACTGGATCAACGTTGCGTAAGATATCAGATTTGGTTGCCGATACACTTTGAGATTGATCCTTTGGTTGAAAAATAATTGCTGATGTTTGTTTAAGGGCTTTAGCATAAGTGGTTTCATCATCAGTTTTCTCAGGTTTCGAGATTGAAAGCTTTAATTCATTAATTTGTGCTTGAAAAGCAGATGTTAATTCATTTTTCAAATTTTCAAAACCTTCTATCATTTCTGTAACTTGTTTCCCATTGTTTTATTAAGCTCAGCAATCTGAACATTGATGGAACTTACATTTCTTTCTATGTTACTTAAATAGGATTTTTCAGTCATTTGACAATTAATTTTGCAAACATCACAGATGAAGAACAAGTTTTTGCATTTTTCTAATAATTTGAATTCAGTTTCAGAAAAATTTACACATGAATGATGAAACCATTTATTACACGATCCTTCGCAACCAATCAAACCCTCTTTTTTTGAGGACTTACATTTACCAGAATTTGACATTATTTAATAACCAAATGTCTACATCTAACATTTAACATTTAAAATTCAAAGTGGTTGAGTGCACGCACCGATCGGCGATAATTACTTTTGATAATAATAGATAGATAAGAGCGGTTTTTATGTCCACTTCTTAAAAAGAACAATAAATCGCACTATGTGGCCTTATTAATTACTAAATACGAGAATTATATTAGCCTCCATTCAGAGAACCACCTTAATGTGTAGAGAACAAAATATGATGAATAATATTAATATAAAGTTTTTTTGTTGTTATTTTATTGCTGCCGTCCGGATTTTTATTAGAATCTGTCTTGGGATTTGCTTTTACAGGGTGACGAAAAAATTAATGAATGGGTGGATTTATTTTATTGATTAAATCAAGAATTCCAAACCTGAATACTTTGAAAGACCTACTGTAAAAATGAAACACATAAATACTAGACAGTTGGTTTATTTAACATTAAAACTCATAAGTGAATACACTGTCGATAAACCCACACCCAACACTTCTAAGAAACAAGGGCAGCAAGTCTACTAAATTGCGGTGTTGGTGGTACTAAATGTAACCTAAAAACAATACAAAATTACAAGATTTATAAAATCAGATCTGGTGTAATTAAGGTACTTACTTCTTTGAATAGAGACTTAATCACAGCATAAATCTGGGGTAGTTCGCTTTCCAGTTGTGGCCTCCATCACCACGACCATTACAACCATGATTTTGATAAATGTCTTAACCAAACTACTCATTATAGCTGCTTTCGGATTCAGTTCTTGAGTTAAAACTGACCCAATATGGAAATATTTGCGCTTTTATAAACCTTATCAGAGCACGATTTTCTAAATCATGAGGTCGAAATGTATATATAATAATTAATAAAACAAGTGTCATACTAAATAAGTGTTGTTCGACAACACCGATAAACAAAATATTTGCCAATTCGGTGTTTAGCACGCTTGTAATGAGCGAAAATATTATTAATTTCACCTGTGTCTTTGTTTTTCTTATCGAACATGTAAACCTATGAAATTTGTGATTCAGTGGATGATGGAACTAAACATTTTTTAATAATTAATTGGCATGCTAATTATAAGTTTCACACATTGTTTTGAACGCAATGTGAGGGAAATGATTAATTCAAAGGCAAAAATATTCAAATTTTGTAGTAGATTGTTTCATAACTCAGGAATTCTAGAGCTTCTAAAAGAAAAAAAAAAAGAAAAAAAAATATAAACTTTTCCAAAATAAATCCGTGATATCGTTTGTCCAACGAGATACTGAATGAGTTCTTCGGAGGTCTATTATTTCAGATATTTTCATATTATCTTAGACCATACAGTGTAGTTACCAAGAATACACAAAATGCGTAAAAACATTGTTTATGATTACTATTTCGTTTCCGTCTGTCTGTCCGTCTGTCCGTCTGTCTGCCGTCCCGGATTTTTATTACACAGATAATCTCCGAAAGTACTGGACCGATTGTTGTGACATTTTGTAATTATATTAAGAATATCAAGTAAATGGTAAAACGCTGAGCAAAATTTGCCTAATCATCCCCACCAATAATGGGATGACATCACTTGAAAATTGCATATAGTAAATGGGTTTTAGATTGTATTAAATAACATAGTCCTATACATGTAGTTTACGACTCCGTATTGAGTTTTTACCCGAAACATCCAGATTTTTGGAAAAAAAATCAAGATTATAAAACAACATTTTGCAATTTAATTTTGAATCTGCAAAGCCGAAAGCTTGGAAATCTTGCGCAGATGGTTTACAGTTATCATAAGCATGATACATTTTTAATCAAAATATATTTACTTATCCCCTCCAAAAAATTGATGACGTCAGCTCAAAAGTTTGCCAAATAAATTCTATCTAAAATGTACAAAATATGATGAGTCTGTACTTGTGATTTACCGTTCCATTTATAGTTTTTGAATTTGCATATATAAATATTATTTAATTATATCGTGAAAATTTATAGTTTTGTTCCACCAACTTCAATCGTTTCGAAAATTTCCCCAAAATTTAAACTTTGTCGAGTAAACGAATCACGGAACCTGATAAATTAAAACTGAAGTCGTACTTACCCTGTTTTCGGTCCTTTTCGGAAAAATATCCATTTTCTTCCGTGTTCACAGCAATAGCACAACACATTTTCCCTAATATTTATTAATAATAAATTAGAAATTCGCGAAATTGCTCTACTTTTACGCCAAAAGGAAGCGACGATCTTGTCGCTATCAAACAGAAATTAAAACTGACACAAAGGACCGAGAAACGTGACCTTTGGACAGGTAGCTCACGTGACAGTGGTGACGTCATCGCACGTCACGATGAGATTGCAAAAATCATTTTTCATATTTTGGCCGGGAAATTAGACATTTTCAGGATTAATTTAACAATATTTAAACAAATTGCTTTGTTTTTAATACCATCGTGTTTTTAGTAAAACGGTTTTCGGTTTGATTATCGTATATTAATAGTTACTTACCATATTTGAACATTATAAATAATATTAATTATGTCTAAATTTTATTTAATTATATCGTGAAAATGTATAGCTTTGACCGATCAACTTCAACCGTTTTGAATTTTTTTCCAAAATTTAAACATTGTCGAGTAAACGAATCACGAAACTTAATAAATTAAAACTGAAGTCGTACTTCCCCGTTCGGTCCTTTTCGGAAAAATATCAACTTTCGTTCGTGTTCACAGTACTAACACAACACATTTTCACTAATATTTATTAACCATAAATTAGAAATTAGCGAAAAGAAGTCTACAATTCACTATTCACTGCGTTTTACGCTTATCGGGGCAATGCATTTTATCTGTGTACTTGAGCAACCCGGGTCCGGTAGGCCCCCTAGTTGTATTTGTGTTATTAAATAAGAGTAATTTTAATAGTAAAAATATATGTTTAAGGTATGTTATTATTTTTAGCAAATAATAATTGCGTGTTACATAATGATTAATTTTTTCAATTAGCACAAATTAGTTTTGTAATCGACTAATCGAATGTTCAATACATACATTTCTTTCGCATAAATCGCATATTTGTTACTGTTTTATATCTTTATTTTTCAGACAAATTAAGCATCTTTTCCTGTTGCCACATGCGTCATTTGTTCACTTTTTCATTGTTGGACCAAACGCGAGGCGGGCTTGGCAGGTCCGTTTTGCTCTAGAATGTGCCGATTATGTTTAAGTGTAAATCTTGGGCAATAAAATTAATATTTTTAGAACCCTCGGTAGAATAATTTATCGTGAGATATTCTCAGAAATCGTGAAACGAGATTAAAATAAAATGAGTTTCAACAAAAATTTGAAAATTTAAAGTTGCACTCTGGTGATTCCGTCCTGCCAGGCAGCCCTTGATCCTATAAGGGGTTTAAATACCTTTCTAAGAAATTGTACGTATTTTGCCTTAAACGGAAGCAGCAATTCTTCCTAAAATGTATATACCTGCCGCACCGGGATAGACGATTACCGGACATGATCATAAAAACATGGTAAGCCGATATTGAAGAATAATAATTTATGACAGGTTGCCGACAACAGACCTTCAGCACAGAATAATCATTTCCCGTATTCTTTTGAAATATATATATTTTAATGCTGGAGATAATTATTAGATATACTCAAACACAATTTGGACACTGTAGTATGGGAATAAAAACAAAAAAAAATTCTTTTTAAGCGGACGTAATAAATATCGCACAATTTGCGACACATCAAACAGCGAAGCGATGGCCTATTTGCAGGAAAAAAGAAAAGATTTTCAGTCTTGAATAACTATGCTACCGTAAAATGTTTATTTTTTAAATTTAATACCACAATCCCTTCTTCTGCACCTGTGGAACGGGTGTTTAGTACCGGAAACCAAATTCTGACACCAAGAAGAAATAATTTAGGTGACAATACGTTCGAAATGTTGTTAATTTTAAAAAATTCATTAAACAATACATAAAAAAATACATAAACATGTTTTCAGTTATTTTATTCGCCAAAGCTTCAAAAAGTATGTGTTTTCGTGTATCTGTATCTAGATACATTTCGAAAAAATCGAAAACAATCTGTATCTAGATATTTTTAAAAATATCTGTCCCCAACACTGGTATTGAGTTATATGACTAGAGAACACAGGAAAACCGTTGTTAACTATATAAGTGCTAAAAACTAAGTTGTTACAAAGCGCAAAATTGCGATTTAACAAAACGTATCCATCAAACTCGCATTAATAAAATACATGAGAGAAAAACTTATCGCGAAAAAATCTATATCGGTTTTATCGATGGAACTTTTTTCAGGCAAACAACGCAATAAATCGATACAAGACTTTGGTTGTGATATGGAAATGACGATTTCCGCATTTGCCAATGGGTTGAGGGACGAAAATCAAATTTTGTCACAAACTTTGAGCAAGTATACTACATGCAAGATCAGAGCGTCCGAGGGCAGAATACGCGGTAATATTCATTTTCAAAATAATCATGGAAATCGAAATGTTTATTTTGATCAAAATCGAGGTCAAACACGCGGAAGAAATAATTTCAGAAATCCGCATCGTCAGCGTAGTGGTAATAGCCGTGGTAGAGTTTTTTCGGGACTTCGAATGAGAATGATAAAGTTGTGCTTAGTACGAGGGGTAAACCGCAGAGGAAATCAATTGTACACGCTAGAGGAAATCAAAGGAAATCAAAAGGAAATCAAGAGGAAATCAACGAGAAATCAAGAGGAAATCAATTAACGATAAATCAACAAGAAAACAAAGGAAATCCAAAATCATTACAGCAAATCCAGTTAAAATAGATATTTTCTATAACTAATAAACGTAACATGTACGACATAAGTCATAGCATTCATCATTAGAAAGAAAATATCAATTTAATCTTAAAAGTGGAGATTAAATAACCTTTTAAGGGCATAATGATAGAAAATTCCAGTATAATATCATTAACCGAGAGCATGATATTTCAGCTTGACAAATATTAAAGTTGTAGTTAATGAAGTGCAGTTCCGATGAGAAATGATACATTATATTGCTTTATACCTACAGACCAAATTTATAATTTCACCCCAAATTAGTTTTTAAAAATTGAGTTTGTGATATGAGGTACCAAATTCATTAAGTTCAGGTCGTGCAAAAATCTTACTGATGATATCTTCTTGTCTTGGAAGTTTAGCTCTCAAACTTGTGAGAGTATGTTTAGAAGCCTTAGATCAATGACTTCAACTTTTAGCACAATTGTTAATTTTAGTATAAGAGATATGTTGCATCGAAGTGACAGACTGCAAACTATAAACAACATTAAAAACGATTTGGATAAAAAATTCGTTTAACCTAGAGAAATCAGGAAAAAAAGTTCAATCATGAAGAGAGATTTTGTGAAAAATGATGACTTAGGAAACATTTCAGATAAAGATATACAAAGCACCGTAGAATCGGCTTTATGGGATTGTCTGCGTGACACTGAAGATTTAGGAATGAAAGTGATAGATTTCAACTATGTATTTTTGCCTCCGTGTAAAGACAATGAATGCAATGACGAAGTTGAAGATGAAATGTTTAGTGAAGAACAGTGCGATCACATTGAAAATTACAACAATTCTCAAATAGCCATGAAACGTAACTGTTTTCAAAGTTTGGAAAACGATCCAGTTGACCAAGATGAAGATTTACTGAATGATCTTTGCACAATTTCGTACGAATCTAAGAAATTTGACAGAGACGTACACCTTAGAAGTTTTGATAGTGACGATATTTTTGTTGAGAAAGGTGATCTAGTCAGATACGCTTAGATAGTACAACAAAAGTTATAAAAAAGTCTTCACTTTGCTGGCTGTTAGACAATGAAAAGGATCGCGTCAGTGTGGATCGTCTCAAAAGATTTATTCAACATAAGAAATGTAATAGTAGTAGAGTTAACTCAAAAACAGATACCTGCCTTCAACATAAAGATGCATCTCAAATTCAAAAACCAGTCCAAATTGGAAAACAAAAAAGACGCTATAATATATCAAGTGACTCATCTGATTTAGACAACCCAAGTAGTATCGAATATGATGACAGCACGGACACCGAAAGTTTGAATTCTGATGATTTGAATCCTCGTTTGAATCTCAAGGCTGAAAATAGTAAAACTGATTGTTCTAAACCAGACTTAAATATAGACGATTATATTATAGTATAATTAACAACTCAAAAACAAGACAAAAAATATTACATTGGTAAAGTGTTATCACTTAACCCTTTTTTTTGAGATTTTTTGAAAAGGAATCCAAAAATTCCGGATGCTTTTATGTTTCCGGACGTTAAAGATCAGGGGGAGATCCAAGAAAATGAATATATAATGAAACTACCTCCACCTCAGGTACTCAGAAGAGGCAGTTTAGTTTTTAAAAAAAAATTATTGAAAAAATATTTGATTTAATTCTAGTTTTTTTTTAAGTGATGTATTTAAAATTTGTGATAATGTAATCTCAACCTGGGTCGAGATTTGTACGAGCATATATCATAGAGAATACTAAAGTAAGAAATTGTGCAAAGTTCTAGGTGCCGATGAACACTTTTAAAGGGGAAAATTACCTCTGAAAACTTATCAAGTGGGGTTATCCACTCCTTTATTGTGCAAAAAAAAATTCTTACGTGTTAAATTTTGCATTTCAAAAGTTTTTTTCTAATGTGCGTCATTTGAAAGTTGTGAACAAAAAATTAAAAGTGTTATCATCTGTATTTATGGGTAGCTAAAATTTAGCACAATTTTTAACTTCAACATCATCTACAATATATACACAAATCTCGACCCAGGTTATGGGGTAAGTATTTTTTAAGAAGTTGTTTTATTTTGTGATATTTTGTTATGATCCAACTGAAATGCTTTACTTTTATGTTTAGATTTACCGTTTTTTTAACATTTAATAAAATAAATGAAACTACTTATTTTTTCTGTTGTTGCCTTATGAGTCACTGATAAGTAAAAACTGCTGACGTAACTGAAAATATCCTTGGCCTTATGTACTTTTAATTTCGTAAAGTCAAAAGCAAAATTTCATAATATAATTTATTAAAAAATTAATAATAATATATAATATAATTTATTAAATCTTTGAGTGATTTAAACGAACTAATTTGTACACACCAGGCATTTTTAACTTCAAAATTAAAATAGACCATAAGGTTTTCTGACTGAATGTGCAAAAAATCTAGAATATTGCATATGTCCACTTTTAAAACAAACATTTGACCCAAGAAACTGTAAAATTCGAAAGTAGGGGAAAAGTGCCTAAAATGATCCCCTCAGGTCAAATGATCCCCATCAATTGTAAGAAAATTTGTGGCTCCATCTACCAAACATAACCGTCATTCAGCGTTCTGTGTATTCTGCACAGTTTTGTGCCAAAATATGTAAAATAAGCACCTCTGATCTAAGGTAAGATATATTTTAAAAGTCCATTACTTCCATTTGAAAGGTCTTATAGCGGTGGTAGTTGTTTTGACAGAATTAGATACATTTCAGTCGTAGGTTAGTTATGATCTTTTTACCGCATGTAAAAATTGAAGGTTAGTTTACAATTTTTGACAGCGGATTTTCTTGAGGCAAAATGATCCCGGATCATTGGGCGAGGCTAGTACCTTCTAAGATAAGACTGATTTTTGCAAATCATATACCCTCTAAGAAAAGAGAGGGTGGGTGGGCGGGGCTAGTACCTGCTAAGATAAGACTGATTTTTGCAGATAACATATCCTCTAACCCCGCCCACCTACTCTTTATTTTCTTTGAGGGAATACCATTTGCCAATATCAGTTTTATCTTAGCAAGTACTAACCCCACCCACCCGCCCGTTATTTTCTTAGAATGTATGTTATTTGCCAATATCAGCCTTATCTTGCCAAGCACTAACTCGGCCCATCCGCCCTTTATCTTGTTAGAGGGCTAGTACCTAATAAGATAAGACTGATTTTCGCAAATGACATATCCTCCAAGAAAAGAGAGGGTGGGTGGGCTACTACCTGCTAAGATAAGACTGATTTTTGCAGATGACATATCCTCTAACCCCGCCCACCCACCCTTTAGTTTCTTCCAGGGAATACCATTTGCCAATACCAGTTTTATCTTAGCAGTTACTAGCCCCACCCACCTACTACCTGCTAAAATAAAACTGATTTTCGCAAATGAAATACCCTCTAAGAGAGGAGAAGGAGGGTGGGTGGAGCTAGTACCTCTTAAGACGGGGAAATTTAAATAATTTAAAAGAATTTTAGGGATTTTCGTGTTCTATTTTTGGGAAATTCTCAGTCTTAAGAGGTACTAATCCCAGTCACCCGCCCTCACTTTTCTTAAAGGGTATCTCATTTGCCAAAATCAGTTTTATATTAGCAAGTATTAGCCCCACCCACCCACCCTCTCTTTTCTTAGAGGGTATATCATTTGCCAAATTCAGTTTTATCTTAGCAGGTAGTAGGCCCGGCCACCCGCCTTCTCCTTTCTTGGAGGGTATCCCATTTGGCAAAATTAGTCTTATCTTAGCACGTACTGATGACTAAAGTATTGTCTCAAACTCTTCCAGAAATTATACACCCCGTATTTTCGGTGCTTTTCAAACTTTTTTTGTTTATTTTTTTTAAGAATTTATTTTTTTGTTAATTTTTGAAATAAAATATTTATCAGTTATGTCATGATTTGATTTTTCTTGTTGATACTGTCCCCTTATGGTCAAAATTCAAAGGGATCATTATGCCCATGCCGAGGGATCATTTTACCTATGGGGATGCCTAAAATGATCCTTTTGTAAGGTCCTGGAAAAACGTTAATAACTTTTTTTATAATTATCGAATCACCAATTGGCTTATACTGTTACCTAGATAAATCAATGTTCTTACAAATAATGCTACAGTTTTATATGAATAATAATAATTTGTATTTTTTAAAGAATTTCTCCCTTAGGGGGATCATTTTAGGCAGCTTTCCCCTATACTTACTCTATTGATTTAGACATCTAAAACCTCGATTTCAGAGTAGCGTTCTTTTTGTAAGTAAAATCAGATTTTTTTTCTTAAACATTTCAGTTTGTTGCTTAGCAGCACAATACATTTTATTTATTTATTTTTTTCCTCTAAAGGGAAAGCACTTCAGCTTACCTAGTCACCGTGCGTTAGTAAACACTTGGTAAAAAAAGGTTTAAATTCAACATCATTATCGGCAAAACAAAAAAGTCAAGTTAAAAAAAAGTTAACAATCGCCCTATTATGTATACAAATTTTGAGGAAATCAAAAGGAAATCATAGGAAATCAAAAGGAAATCATTGGAAATCAAGAGGAAATCACAGGAAATCAAAGGAAATCACAGAAAATCAAAAAAATCAAAGGAAATCACAGGAAATCAGAGGAAATCAAAATCTTGTGTTGTTACTTTAACTTAATTTGTCCTCTAAATGGAAATTCTGTTGGGCAATAAAGACATTATTATTATTATTATTGTTATTATTATTTTCTCCACTGCCGAGGAAACCCTTTTCCCTTCCAAATTCCATCTCCACATTTCTTCCGTCGTCGTGATTCCTTTATTTATTTTGTAGCATTTTTCCTCACAACCTCCCAATAATTCCATAAACTGTCTTTTCCATTCATGTATTTTGATTTTCCTACTGACTTCAATCTTCCTTCTCCGTTCCTTGTTTATATATCTCCATACTTCTTCTGTTTTCAGGGACTTTATTGTCTTCTCTCCTTCTTCTCGTTTTTCTCTTTTTCTTTCTTGACATTTTCTCCTATAATTGTCTCTTGCTTTTAAGTATTCTTCTTTCCTTCCCCTGTTATTCTTCCATTTTCTTAGTTTTTTCCTTGCCTTTCTCTTCAACTCACTACATTCTCCGTTCCATCCATTATTCCTCCCTTGCCATGTGTATATCTTTCTCTTTTCCGTAGCTTCTACAATTAAGTTAATCAGTTCTACTATCATAGCTTCTATATCTTCTTTTACTTCGAATTTCTTTTTTTCTAGTCTACTTCTGTATCCTTGAACTCCCTCTTCACCCCATACTCTTTTTTCTATTTCTTTTCTTTCGTTTCTTTTCTCTTGTTTCTCGTACTCTTGCTCCTTTCCGTCGGAACTAAACTACCAAAACTGCTTCATTTATCTTGATAATCTTATTGTTTTCGGAAATAATCTTCAAAATCATAACACAAATTTAATCGAAGTTTTAGATCGTTTGAGGAAAGTACATTTAAAAAAGAAATTTACGAACAATAAAATAAATGTAGATCTCAAGCAAAACCAAACTTTGCGTAAAATCTATTTTTCCTAAAACTTGCCAATTTTCTTTTTTTTTTAGCCTAAAATCCACCCATACAAAATCACTAGTTTCTGCACAACACGCTGCCCATATGTTTTCGAGCAACTTTCATCAGCTTCATCTGAACCTCCTCCGCCTAATCCGTATCCACATAAACCTAATGACACTAATCCTGTTAAAATCTCTGGGCGAGGGAATTTTATCGCACCAGATCACTGTTTATCATAGATCAATTCGCCATTAAATTGCTGTTTTATCAGATTAAAACCACCATATTCGTATGAATCAATTTGCATTTGGCACAGTGCTGCACATTCCGTTGCAGAAAAATGGGCGACGAGTGCGGTGGTGGTACCTCCAGCAACGACACAGAGCTGAAGAACGCGGACCAAAATGACTGCGTTCTTCCGGATACTTTGAGTATTTTGAGTGACTACGAAAGATTCACCTTCATGGGGATCTTCGTGGTTTTCTCTGTGTTGTCGTTGTGTGGGAATTGTGCTGCGATATACTCGATTAGCAAAAGGTAAAAACTGATTGGTTTAGAAAGTGTAAAGAAATAGAAAATTTTCAGGAAGTACAGGTACGTGCAGAAGACTTGCATCGTCTCGCTGGCCGTCTCGGATATTTTGAGCACCATTGTTATTGCCACCAACAACTTGGAGACTTTCTCACATGAGCTGCTAGTGTGGGTGAGTTCTATTCCTTTAGTTGCTTCTGTATTCATCTCCACACTCGTTTCGTTGTTATCCACAATTTAAAGCATTTCCTTTCGATGATTTTCCGTTTCTAATTTACATTGTTTATCAGCTTAATGCCTGTCATCTGAATTTTTTATCTCGTCGCTTCATCACGAGTGCATAGTGTGACTACTACATTTACACTTAGCTAAATATAGCAAATAGTAATATAGCCCTTGAAACTAAACCTGCAGTAGATCAAAGCAAACAAGAATAATAGCGTGTTGCTTTATTTTGGTTGACTTTGAGTCACTCGTTTTGTTTTCTTTCTTTGACTCACGTCGAATCAAAGCTGAGTTTTGTTCGATTAATAAACGCTTGCAATAAAAGTCGTTCATATCATATCTGAATGTTTTATTATTCCGATTTGGAAGTACAATGTTTTATTGGGTTTTTTTTATTACGAAAATACTTATCTGGACCACATGTTGATTAATGAATATTGCTTTTTAAGAATGTAGTGGTATTTGCTGCCAAGTTATGTAACAAAGTTTGTGATTTTATTTTATTTGCTAATATGTGGAGAATTTTATAAATAGCAATAAAGTTAAACGGTAAAATAAGTTAAAAACTATCAAATTAATTCAAATTCAAATCTAGTTACTGGAACAATAAGTGTTTCAAAATTTGTAACCGAAAGATTGCTCGTATATTTGGAACTTTATCACTGTAAAGGTAAAAAGGCCTAAATAACACTCAGTTTTTCAATTTCCTAAATTTTGATTTCTTCAAATTTTAGATTTTGCAATTTTTCGATTTGAGTTTCATGAGTTTTCAATTTTTAGACTTTTTAATTTTTCATTTCTTCAAAGTTTAGGTATGCAATTTTTCGTTTCAGTTTTTTATTTTCTTTATTTTTATAATTTTTCCAATTTTTAATGTTTCGGTTTTAAATTTTTTGTTTTTTCAATTTCAATTTTTCAATTTTTCGTTTTGCAATTCTTCGGCTTTTCTAACTTTTAATTTTTTTTTTAATGTGAAAATGATCAATTTTTGAATTTTTAAGTTAGTCGATTTGAAATTTTTCTGTTTTCAATTTTTCGATTTTACAGTTTCTCGATTTTTAAATTTTTCTGATCTGCAATTTTTCTAGTTTTCTTTTCACATATGTATCTGATATTAATTATAATTCTTAAAATTTTTCACTTTTTCAATTTTCCGTTTTCCTTTTTCAATCGGTTTTTCAATTTTTCAGTTTTCAATTTTTCGATCTGTCAGTGTTACAGGTTACTGTTTAGTTTTGACAACTCTATAATTTTTTGATATCACAATTTTTGGGTTTTCTAATTTTTCAATTCCAGTGGTTTGCTCTTTTCAAATTTACTATTTTTTTTTTTTATTTTTAAATATCACGTTTTTTAGCTTTGAAATTTTTTGTCTTTTTAGTTTTTCGAATTTTCATTTTTTTTTCAAATTTTAGTTTGTATATTTTTAATTCTTCAATTTTTGTTTCTTTAATTTTACGATATGCATCTTTCCTGATTTTCAGTTTTAAATTCTTCAGTTTTCCGGTTTTCCAACTTTTAGATATTTAACTTTTAGATTTTTCAATTTTTCGACTTGCAAGTTCTTGAATTTTTTTTAATTAATTAATTTCTGGATTTTTAAATTTTTTGATTTGCAATTTTGCTCTTCTTCAGTTTTTGATTTGCAGTTTCTGTAGTTTGCATTTGGAATATGTATCTAATAATAATTATTATAACTCTTAAAATTTTTAATTTTTTCAATTTTACTGAAACTTTTTCATCGATTCGATTTTTTAATTTTTCTATTTTTAATTTTTGCAATTTCTCATTTCTTGATATTTCATTTTTCAATATGTCGAATTTTCTATTTTATAATTTTTCACCTGTAGAGTTTTCATAATTCTATAATTTTTCGATTTTACAAATTTTGGGTTTTCCAATTTTTCAATTCCATTCATTTGTTTCTTTTTCAAATTTTGCCATTCTTTATTTTTTTTTTTAATTTTCAAGTATTGCAGTCATATAGTTTTACACTTTTTCAATTTCGCAATTTTTGTATTTTCAGATCTTCGATTTTTCATTTTTTTTTATTTCTTAGTTTTTATATTATTAATTTTTCAATTTATCATTTTTTTGTTTCTTCAATTTTAAGATATGCATCTCTTGTGATTTTCGTTTTTACATTTTTCAGTTTTCCGATTTTCAAACTTTTGGATATTTCACGTTTTAGATTTTGCAATTTTTTTATTTACAATTTTTTGAATTTTCAATTTTCAATTTGTCAATTTTTGGATTTCTCAATTTTTCGATTCGCAGTTTTTCGGTTTACAATTTTTCGATTTTTCAGTTTCTCGATTTTTCAATTTTTTATTTACAATTTTTCTAGTTTTCACTTCAAATATGTGTCTATTTCTTAAAATTTTTCATTTTTTCAATTTTACGATTCAGAATTTTTCCGTTTTTCATTTATTGGTTACTAAAACTTTTTCAATTTTTCAATTTTTCAGTTTTTAATTTTTCAATTTTTCGATATTTAATTTTTCGAATTTCTAACGTTACAGTTTTTCGACTAAGTATACAACTTTGACAATTTTCGATTTTACAAATTTTGAGATTTCCAATTTTCGAATTCCATTCATTTGTTCTTCTTTCCGGTTTTGCCATTCATTAATTTTTTTTTTCAACTTTTAAGTACGTATCTCGATTTTTAATTTCTAATTCTTCAGTTTTTCGATTTGCAATTTTTCAGTTTTCGACTTTTGCAATTTCCCAATTTTTTGTTGCAAAGTGGAAAAATTGTAAAATTGTAAAATTAAAAATGAAAAAACGAAAAAGTATAAAATGAATTTTTTTAAAAATCTAAAATTGGAATTCAAGAACTTGAAAAATTTAAGAAACGTAAAGATCGAAAAACTTCAAAATAAAAAACGAAATATTGTAAAATCGAAATATTGAAAATTAAAAGAAATTAGAAAATTTCATAATTGAAAAATCCAAATAATGCAAAAAAAAAATTTAAAAACGTCCTTATTATCCTTTTTCGTCCTTTACGTCCTTTTTCGTCATTTTCGTTCTTTTTCGTCCTTTTCGTCCTTTTTGGACCTTTTCGTCATTTTCGTTCTTATTCGTCCTTTTCTTCCTTTTTTGTCCTTTTTCGTCCTTAGTATCCTTTTTCGTCCTTTTTCATCCTTTGTTGTCCCTTTCGTCCTTTTTCTTCCTTTTCGTCCTTTTTCGTCCTTTTCGTTCTTTTTCGTCCTTTACGTCCTCTTTCGACCTATTCGTCATTTTCGTCTTTTTCCGTCCTTTTTTTCCTTTTTCGTCCTTTTTTGCCCCTTTTCGTTCTTTTTCGTCCTTTTCGTCCTCTTCGTCCTTTTTCATCCGATTTCGTCCTTTTCTTCCTTCTTCGTTTTTTTTCGTCCTTTTCGTACTTTTCGTCCTTTTTCATCCTTTGTTGTCCTTTTCGTCGTTTTCGTCCTTTATTGTCCTTTTCGTCCGTTTTCGTCCTTATTATCCTTTTTCGTCCTTTTCGTCCGTTTTTGTCCTTTTCGTCCTTTTTCGTCCTTTCCGTCATTTTTGTCCTTTTTCGTCCATTTTCGTCCTTTTCGTCCTTTTTCGTCCTTTTCGTCCTTTTTCATCCTTATTATACTTTTTCGTCCTTATTTTCCTTTTTCGTCCTTTTCGTCCTTTTTCGTCCTTTTCGTCCTGTTCGTCCTTTTTCGTCCTTTTCGTCTTTTTTCGTCCTTTTTCGTCCTTTTTCGTCCATTTTCGTCCTTTTCGTCCTTTTTCGTACTTCACCGTCCTTTTATAATAATACAATTAATAATAATAATAATAATAATTTTTATTGAACCAATTTTAAATAAATAAATTAAAAAACATTGGTACAAAAGATACAGATACAGCAAAAACTGATATTAATCTGACCTGACATTATTATCTAACCTGACAGTATTAAAAAGAATATTAAATTATTAATGAGTTAAAACAGACCTAAATTTATATTTGGTATTTCTCCATTCAGCAGTCGTTGTTTTAACAGTTTCTTCGAAGTTTGGGTAAAAATGAGGCTCTTCTCTGCGCCAATGACATTATTTTTTTTTGTCCTTTTCGTCCTTTTCCTTCTTTTCCTTGTGAAAACGAGGAATTGAAAAATCAAGGATTGAAAATTTGAAGAATTGAATAAACGAAAAATTATAAAATTGAAAAACTTAAAAAAAAGAAACGAAAATTAGAAAAACTATGACAACTTTGAGAAAATGAAAATTAAAAATTCCAGGAATGAAAATTCAACAACTTGAATAAATTGAGGAAATGAAAAATTGAAAAATCAAAAAATTAAAAACTGAGAAACTAAAAATCGAAAAATGAACAATAGTAATATCCATAATATTGCAAAATTTAGATATCGACAAATTGAAAAATTGAAAAAATCACTCACAGAAAATAAAACAACAAAAATTGTGATATTAAAAATTGAAGAAAAGGGAAAAAAAAATTGGTCGAAGGTAAATAAATCTAAATTTTTTCAAAAATTATAAGGTAAAGAAAGCGTGCTACGCGTTTGTTTCAAGTGAGTTTTTCCATTACAATTTTTTTTTAAATGACGTCATCAACATTTTTGTAAGGAGAAAAATCTTGACTGCATTTATTCAAACCAAAGAGAAACCAAGAGCTTGAAAATTTAATGAATGTGTTGGCATGGTACATCTTTACATATTTTATGACAAATATAAGAATACGAAGAAATGGTTTTCGCTATATTACTTATTATTACGTAATTAGCATTTTAGGGCCAATAACATTTTTATTTTATTTTTCGTATCTTTTACTGTTTAATGCAACGGGGTTATTCCATATTTTTCGTTTTTATATAGTTTCTATTTAATTTAGATATATTAAATAAATACAAATTAAAGACTTCTCTTAACGTTGTGATTCCTTTTTCTCACAACTGTTTCAACATTTCTAGAATAACCTTATCGTGTT